TCCCCAAATCCGGGAGGGGTCCCCAAATCTGGGAGGGTTCCTCAAATCCGGGGCAGGGTCTGGACACCCCCAGAGGTCCCACCCCCTCCCCAGTCAGAGATGGAGCCCCACAAATCCCTTCCCGCTCCCCCCCAGCCCCCCGGAGCCGAGAATCGGGGGGGGGTTGGGGGGTTTTGGGGGTCCTGCTGTGGTTTGGGGTGACCCAGGGACGTTTTGAGGTGGTTTGGGGTCATTTGGGGTCCCTCACCCGGTGCAGTTTGTAGCAGAGGCCGCAGGCGTTGCAGGCGGGGGTTGGGCGGCTCAGGGATATTTTAGGGAGATTTAGGGATATTTTGGGATATTTAGGGATCTTTTGGGATATTTAGGGATCTTTTGGGATATTTAGGGATCTTTTGGGATATTTAGGGATCTTTTGGGATATTTAGGGATCTTTTGGGATATTTAGGGATCTTTTGGGATATTTAGGGATCTTTTGGGATATTTAGGGATCTTTTGGGATATTTAGGGATCTTTTGGGATATTTAGGGATCTTTTGGGATATTTAGGGATCTTTTGGGATATTTAGGGATCTTTTGGGATATTTAGGGATATTTTGGGGTGTTTTGGTCCCTCACCCGGTGCAGTTTGTAGCAGAGGCCGCAGGCGTTGCAGGCGGGGTTTGGGCGGCTCAGGGATATTTTAGGGATATTTAGGGATATTTTGGGATATTTAGGGATATTTTGGGGTGGTTTCAGGTGGTTTTGGGTCCCTCACCCGGTGCAGTTTGTAGCAGAGGCCGCAGGCGTTGCACACCGGGTTTGGGCAGCTCAGGGATATTTTAGGGATATTTAGGGATATTTCAGGGGATATTTAGGAATATTTTAGGGATATTTAGGGTCGCTCACCCGGTGCAGTTTGTAGCAGAGGCCGCAGGCGTTGCACACCGGGTTGGGGGTGGCTCAGGGATATTTTAGGGATATTTTAAGGATATTTTAGGGATATTTTGGGGTGTTTTGGTCCCTCACCCGGTGCAGTTTGTAGCAGAGGCCGCAGGCGTTGCAGACAGGGTTTGGGCGGCTCAGGGATATTTAGGAATATTTAGGGATATTTAGGGATATTTTAGGGATATTTAGGGATATTTAGGGACGTTCCTCACCCGGTGCAGTTTGTAGCAGAGGCTGCAGGCGTTGCACACCGGGTTGGGGGCAGCTCAGGGATATTTCAGGGGATATTTAGGGATATTTTAGGGATATTTAGGGATATTTAGGGACGTTCCTCACCCGGTGCAGTTTGTAGCAGAGGCTGCAGGCGTTGCACACCGGGTTGGGGGCAGCTCAGGGATATTTCAGGGGATATTTAGGGATATTTTAAGGATATTTAGGGTCCCTCACCCGGTGCAGTTTGTAGCAGAGGCTGCAGGCGTTGCACACCGGGTTGGGGGCAGCTCAGGGATATTTCAGGGGATATTTAGGGATATTTTAGGGGATATTTAGGGATATTTTAAGGATATTTTGGGGTCCCAACTTGAGGGGATTTGGGGCGATTTGGAGGGGTTGGGGGCACTAAAAGGGGATTTCGGGGGGACTTGAGGGAGTTTCGGGGTGTAGTGAGGGGTTTGGGGGAATTTGAGGAGTTTTGGGGGGGATTTCTGGGGTTTGGGGGGGTAGCTGGGAGGGACTAGAGGGGGATTTGGGTTTGGGGGATTTGGGGGTCCTTGGGAGACATGGGGTCCCAGGCTGGATTTTGGGGTCCCAGGGTGTTTTTAGGGCTCCCAGGTATATTTTAGGGGTTCCCAGGTGTATTTTAGGGGTTCCAGGTGTATTTTTGGGGTCCCCGGGTGTTTTTGGGGTCCCCGGGGTTATTTTAGGTTTCCCAGGGTATTTTTAGGTTTCCCTGGTGTTATTTTAGGGTCCCCAGGTGTTTTTGGGGTCCTCGGGGTGTATTTTAGGGTTCCCAGGTTTATTTTAGGGTTCCATGGGGTATTTCGGGGTCCCTGGGGTGTTTTTGGGGTCCCTGGGTTGTATTTTGGGGTCCCGGGGTTATTGGGGTGTTCCCGGGCTGTTTTTGGGGTCCCGGGGTGTATTTGGGGTGTCCCGGGGTGTATTTGGGGTGTCCCCGGGGTGTATTTGGGGTCCCTGGGGTGTATTTTGGGGTCCCGGGGTGTTTTTGGGGTCCCGGGGTTATTGGGGTGTCCCGGGGTGTTTTGGGGTGTCCCCCGGATGTTTTTGGGGTGTCCCCGGGTGTTATTGGGGTGTCCCCGGTGTATTTGGGGTGTCCCCGGGGTGTATTTGGGGTGTCCCGGGGTGTATTTGGGGTCCCCGGGTGTTTTTGGGGTCCTGGGGTTATTGGGGTGTTCCCGGAGTGTTTTTGGGGTGTTCCCGGGGTGTTTTTGGGGTCCCTGGGTTGTATTTTGGGGTCCCGGGGTTATTGGGGTGTTCCCGGGCTGTTTTTGGGGTCCCGGGGTGTATTTGGGGTGTCCCCGGGGTGTTTTGGGGTGTCCCCGGGGTTATTGGGGTGTCCCCGGGATGTTTTTGGGGTGTCCCGGGGTGTATTTGGGGTCCCTGGGGTGTATTTTGGGGTCCCGGGGTGTTTTTGGGGTGTCCCGGGGTGTTTTTGGGGTCCCGGGGTTATTGGGGTGTCCCGGGGTGTTTTTTGGGGTGTTTTTGGGGTCCCGGGGTGTTTTTGGGGTCCCCGGGGTTATTGGGGTGTCCCGGGGTGTTTTTGGGGTCCCGGGGTTATTGGGGTGTCCCCGGGGTGTTTTTGGGGTGTTTTTGGGGTCCCGGGGTGTTTTTGGGGTCCCCGGGGTTATTGGGGTGTCCCGGGGTGTTTTTGGGGTCCCGGGGTTATTGGGGTGTCCCCGGGGTGTTTTTGGGGTGTTTTTGGGGTCCCGGGGTGTTTTTGGGGTCCCCGGGGTTATTGGGGTGTCCCGGGGTGTTTTTGGGGTCCCGGGGTTATTGGGGTGTCCCCGGGGTGTTTTTGGGGTGTTTTTGGGGTCCCGGGGTGTTTTTGGGGTCCCCGGGGTTATTGGGGTGTCCCGGGGTGTTTTTGGGGTCCCGGGGTTATTGGGGTGTCCCCGGGGTGTTTTTGGGGTGTTTTTGGGGTCCCGGGGTGTTTTTGGGGTCCCCGGGGTTATTGGGGTGTCCCGGGGTGTTTTTGGGGTCCCGGGGTTATTGGGGTGTCCCCGGGGTGTTTTTGGGGTGTTTTTGGGGTCCCGGGGTGTTTTTGGGGTCCCCGGGGTTATTGGGGTGTCCCGGGGTGTTTTTGGGGTCCCCGGGGTGTTTTTGGGGTCCCTGGGGTGTATTTTGGGGTCCCGGGGTGTTTTTGGGGTGTCCCGGGGTGTTTTTGGGGTCCCGGGGTTATTGGGGTGTCCCGGGGTGTTTTGGGGTGTCCCCCGGATGTTTTTGGGGTGTCCCCGGGTGTTATTGGGGTGTCCCCGGTGTATTTGGGGTGTCCCCGGGGTGTATTTGGGGTGTCCCGGGGTGTATTTGGGGTCCCCGGGTGTTTTTGGGGTCCTGGGGTTATTGGGGTGTTCCCGGAGTGTTTTTGGGGTGTTCCCGGGGTGTTTTTGGGGTCCCTGGGTTGTATTTTGGGGTCCCGGGGTTATTGGGGTGTCCCCGGGGTGTTTTTGGGGTGTTTTTGGGGTCCCGGGGTGTTTTTGGGGTCCCTGGGGTGTATTTTGGGGTCCCGGGGTGTTATTGGGGTGTCCCCGGGTGTTTTTGGGGTCCCCGGGGTGTATTTTGGGGTCCCGGGGTGTATTTTGGGGTCCCCTGGGCTGTTTTTGGGGTGTCCCGGGGTGTCCGGCTCTGACCAGGCGCTTCTTGGGGCGGATGAGATGTTCCCGGGGTGTTTTTGGGGTCCCGGGGTGTATTTTGGGGTCCCGGGGTGTTATTGGGGTGTCCCCGGGTGTTTTTGGGGTCCCCGGGGTGTATTTTGGGGTCCCGGGGTGTATTTTGGGGTCCCCTGGGCTGTTTTTGGGGTGTCCCGGGGTGTCCGGCTCTGACCAGGCGCTTCTTGGGGCGGATGAGGGGCCGGTTGTGCCCGTTGAGGCGGTGGTACAGCCCGCAGGCGTTGCACAGGTAGTGCCCGGTGCCGTCCCGGCGCCACAGCGGCGTCGCCGTGGCCCCGCAGTTCACGCACTCGCGCGCCTCTGCAGGGACCAGTAAGGACCAGTGAGGACCAGTACGGACCAGTGCGCGCCAGTACGGACCAGTATGGGCCAGTATGGACCAGTATGGGCCAGTACGGGCCAGTGCGGGCCAGTGAGGACCAGTACGGGCCAGTACGGACCAGTACAGGCCAGTACGGGCCAGTAAGGACCAGTACAGGCCAGTATGGACCAGTAAGGACCAGTACGGACCAGTGCGGGCCAGTAAGGACCAGTAAGGACCAGTACGGGCCAGTATGGACCAGTAAGGACCAGTACGGACCAGTGCGGGCCAGTAAGGACCAGTAAGGACCAGTACGGACCAGTACGGGCCAGTACAGACCATTATAGACCAGTATGGACCAGTACGGACCAGTACAGACCAGTACGGACCAGTACGGGCCAGTACGGACCATTATAGACCAGTACGGGCCAGCACAGACCAGTACGGACCACTATAGACCAGCATGGACCAGTACAGACCATTATAGACCAGTACGGGCCAGTACGGACCATTATAGACCAGGACGGGCCAGTACAGACCAATACGGACCAGTACGGGCCAGCACAGACCAGTACGGACCCCTATAGACCAGCATGGACCAGTACAGACCATTATAGACCAGGACGGGCCAGCACAGACCAGTACGGACCCCTATAGACCAGCATGGACCAGTACAGACCATTATAGACCAGCGCGGACCCGTGAGGACCAGTACAGACCAGTGCACACCAATACAGACCAGTATGGACCAATATGGACCAGTACAGAACAATAAGAACCAGTAAGGACCAGTTTGGACCCAGTGCCCCCCCAGTGCCCCCCCAGTGTCCTTCCCCCCACTGGGATGTTCTGTCCCACATCAACCAGTACAGACCAGTCTGCACCAGTACAGACCAGTATGGCCCAGTATAACCCATACAGGCCACCAGAGGGCAGCACCCACCCCAGTACCCCCGTTCAGAATTTCTGTCCAGTATAAACCAGTACAGACCAGTATAAACCAGTACAGACCAGTATAGAATATCCCACACCAGTATAAACCAGTACAAACCACTATAGAACATGCTACACCTGTATAAACCAGTACAAATTACTATAGAATATGCTACACCACTATAAACCAGTATGGACCAGTATAAACCAGTACGGACCAGTATCAACCAGTACAGACCAGTATAAACACACCTGGACCACCAGAGCACGCAGCCCAGTACCCACCCCCACTTCCCACACTCTGCCCAGTATCAACCAGTATAAACCAGTATGGACCGCTATGGAACAGCAAGCTCCAGTATAAACCAGTACGGACCAGTATAGAATGTCCCACACCAGTATAAACCGGTACAAACCACTATAGAACATGCTACACCCGTATAAACCAGTATGGACCAGTATAAACCAGTATGGACCACTATAGGATATCCTGCACCAGTATAAATCAGTATGTACCAGTACAAACCAGTACAGACTGCTATGGAACAGCAGGTACCAGTATAAACCAGTATGGACCAGTACAAGACACTGGACAGCCCAGAGTGCTGCTGCAGCTCTGCCCAGTACAGCCCAGTATAAACCAGTACAAACCAACAGCAATCTCCATGACGCAGTACTGACCAGTATAAACCAGTACAGACCAGTGTAAACCAATACAAGCCAGCACAAAACAATCTGTGCCCCAGTATAAACCAGCCCAGGCCCCAGTATGGACCAGTACAAACCAGTACAGACTGCTATGGAACAGCAGGCACCAGTATAAACCAGTATGGACCAGTACAAACCAGTACAGACTGCTATGGAACAGCAGGCACCAGTATAAACCAGTATGGACCAGTACAAACCAGTACAGACTGCTATGGAACAGCAGGCACCAGTATAAACCAGTACGGACCAGTACAAACCAGTACAGACTGCTATGGAACAGCAGGCACCAGTATAAACCAGTATGGCCCAGCACGGGCCAGTACAAACCAGTACAAGCCAACACAGATCAATCTGTGCCCCAGTATAAACCAGTACAAGCTCCACTACAAACCAGTACAACCTCCAGTAAGCTTCCCAGTACATCCCAGTATGAACCAGTGCCCCCCAGTGAGCCCCACCAATCCCTCCCAGTACCGCCAGTCCCTCCCAGTCCCCCCAGTCCCTCCCAGTCCCCACCAGTCCCTCCCAGTATCCCCAGTCCCCCCCCAGTCCCCCCAGTCCCTCTCCCAGTCCCTCTCCCAGTCCCTCCCAGTCCCTTTCCGGGTGGTCCAGGGGCACGTGGGGACATTTGGGACATTGGGGCTTGGGGACAATGAGGGGTGGCCCAGGGGGACAGTGGGGACACTGGGGTTTGGGGACAGTGAGGGGTGGCCCAGGGGCACGAGGTGACATTGGGGACAGTAGTGTGGAGTGGCCCAGGGGGACACTTGGGACATTGGGGTTTGGAGACACTGGGGACATGGGGGATGGAGGGACACAGGGTGACAGGGGGGGACACAACCGGGGGGTCATGAGGTGACGGGGGGGGTTGTGGGGCTTTGGGGGGACAGAGGGGACACAGGGGACAGGTGACATGGGGGTGATGGGGTGGCACAGGGGTGACCCAGGTGACACAGAGGGTGACAGAGATGACCCGGGAGTGGCACAGGGGGTGACACGGGGGTGACACATGTGACACAGGGGTGACACAGGGGTGACACAGGTGGCAGGGGGACAGGGGTACCTGGCGGGGGGAAGGGGCCCAGCAGCCCCCCCGGCTCCAGCCCCTCGGGCGCCCCCAGCCCCAGGAAGGCTCCGGCCTCGTCGGGGAACGGGGGGGGCCCCTCCGGCCCCCCCAGCGTCACAAACTCCATGGGGACCCCAAACCGGGGGGTGCCTGCAGGGAGCCCGGCTCAGCACCCCGAAACCTGACCCCAAACAGCACCCCGAAACCCCGAGGGACCCCAAACAGCACCCCCAAACCTGACCCCAAACAGCACCCCGAAACCTGACCCCGAACAGCACCCCAAAACCTGACCCCAAACAGCACCCCAAAACCCCGAGGGACCCCAAACAGCACCCCAAACCCTGACCCCAAACAGCACCCCAAGCCCCCTCCCCCACCTCGGACACCCCAAAACCGGGGGTCCCGGGGGGTTTGGGGGAGCAGAGCTCACCTGGCGCCGCGGGCCCGGGGCTTGGGGGCTTTGGGGCTTTTGGGGCGCTCTGGGGGTTTTGGGGCGCTCCGGGCCGGGGGCGGTAACGGCCCCGGGGCTGCCCGGCGCTGATAAGGCCTTATCAGATTTTGGGGCCCCGGCGGTTGGTCTGGGGGGGCCGGGCGGGGCCGGGGCCCTTTATCAGCCCCGGCCAGAGAGGGGGCAGGGCCTGCGGGCCAGCGCGCCCCGAAACCGAGAGACACCCCAAAACGGAGAGGGACACCCCAAAACCCAGAGAGACACCCCAAAACGGGGAGAGGCACCCCAAAACGGGGAGAGACACCCCAAAATGGAAAGGGACACCCCAAAATGGAGAGGAACCCCAAAATGGAGAGGGACACCCCAAAA